TCCAGCACGTATTTCTCTCGCACACTGTACGACAATGAAATATTAAGATTTAATAACCACGTATTATTAAGATTACTAAAAGGATTAAATAAATACGTATATTCCGAAGAAATAATTCTTCTAATTAGCAAAAATAGTGCAATGGTATTCCAATCTGTGTTATCTAAAATCTCTACGGAGTTTATGTGATTATATTTTCTTTTAGAATCTCTAATAATAATAGAACGTAATGGTTACCGTTTAAACTCCACGTTACTCTGAGAGCTCACGATTTTCCCGGCATTATGGTAGCATGGATATCGTAAACTCCTGCCTGAATTAATTCCGAAGAATTTGAGAAGATTGATGAACACGATATCGACGAAAGTACTTGTTATGGCGCGAATTTAATAGGTTCATTATTATTCGAGAATCGAATGTTGCAATAATCGATTTTTGAGAAATCGATTCTTTAGATATAATCAATACTATTCGACTTAAGTACCAAACCAATCGATCACAGTTGAAAATCAATACGGTAGCCATGATTGTTTCCTATTGGTGACGCAAGTCGACACTAACGTCGTCTCGTCTTTATTATTCATAATACGTGGAGTAAAACAAGATCGTGCCGAGATATGTATTACTAAAAGGAAGTACCACATATATTCTCAATAAATCTTCACTTCGAGGATTGATCCGCTTCCTTTTTCATTTAATAAAGTAAATTGCTTTTGTTATTTGTACTTGTGTTTACTATCTATGTAATTTCGATTTAATGAGACCGAAAATTAAGACGGAAAGAATGCGAACGCTAGCGAGCACAAAGGTTATACAGTTTTATCCTCGTGAGACTGGCTCGTAAGAGAGACGACCAGTTGACTTTTTATTATTTACGACGGGAGACTAAAGCGGACCTTCAATTTTGTCGTTCTATCGTCGCAAGGGTCAGGGCGGATACTCGTGGAACCTACTCTTTAGTCACGCTCGTTAACTCGGCGCAGAATCAAGCGCAGGATCGCCCTGCGCCAAAGGTCCTGAGATTCTGCTCGACCGACATATCGTTCTGTCGTACCGGATGAAATGTTGCTTCGAAAATTTCTCCCTCCCCGTTTCTTTGTTCCATCGAAACGTCGAAAGCGAACAACGAAAGTGGGAAGTAACGGATCTCACGGACGAGTACTATGATAACGTATACACGAGTAACAATTATCCATTAAAGGATTGTATTTTGGGTACCGTGTGAGCGGTAAAATCGCAACAATACGCATGGGCAGAATTTCCGAAATAGCCGGCGACAAATTTGCGCAGTCATTGCTCTTAACTTTCTAAAAAGAGAAATAATTGAACTCGTCGCGCGTAATAAACTCGTCCGACTTTATCGTGCGGTTAAATCGCGTCGATAAGAAGTAAAACGGAAGCGCTTTGAAACACTTCATTTGCATCGCCATACAAGTTATCATCTTTCGAAAAAACAAGTCTGCACGAGGATGCGGAGTGGCTTTTCTTGCCATTTAAAGACCGCATTTATATGCAAGTGACGACGAGAGAACTTCCATCCGCGGAAGTCACGCTCGCATTCAGGGGCGGACTAGCCGTAAAACTGATCGGGAAAATCATTTAACAGACTTTGATGCATTCAGTACAACATACAGTGTTATGCGCAAATATAAACAAAGATAAAGAATGAAGTTCTTCATTTCATTTTCATTTTAACGAACTAACTTCGTAAAATACAAACATTCCCGAGATATTGTAACAATATTGTTCAAAGCTATACGTACGTTGCTCATTCGTCGATATTTTGCAGCAGAAATAACATTTCTGATATACTAGAATGATGATTTAGATAAAATTTGCGCCGATCATTTATTTCTACTTATATTCATTGTGGAACAAAAGAAACTTTGTTTCAACCAAGACGTGATTGTCTCGTGGCTCTCTCCGAGTCCCTCTCGACTCTCTCCGCGAACGACTCGTTCACGGAATTGTCACCTCACGAGTTCTTCGCGACTACTCAGCCGATCCGCTCCTGGTCATATTACGGCGAAGTACCTTTCAGGTGCAGTGACGCCGACAGTTGCTCGACAGGCGTCGGGGTGCACGTAGGTAGATAATGAGCGGAGATACACGCGTACACAGGGATGTAAATGATATACTAATGCAGGAAATGCCCGGTTAGGTCCTATGCATCATCCGTGCCCAGGTGTTAGCGCGACACGACCAATCGCGCGGTCGGCATTGTGCGCGACAAGACGGTCTCTCCAACGAGAGTTGTCACCGGCTAGCCTTTAAGGTCGTCCGACCTTAAACACCCTAATCAACCATAACGGACTATTTTTTGCTCCCGCGCTCCTTCCGTATCTTCAGCCCGGTTACACGCGATCACTCGTTGCTTCAAGGTCGGAACCTCCATGAAACTGATGGAAACGTACGCTGCGCAGTTGCACGTAAAGTGTACAATCTACGAAGTGCCAGAAGTAATCGAAGTAACTGTGTGAAGCGTTACAATAATTTATGCTGCTTCAGAGATCAAGAAGACACACACGTATCGTGTGATCGCGTAATTCGATCCTGTCAACCATCGCCTCTGTAAATGTAGCGTTTCTTGGACTTATTGATTATCATAATCCGCCATAAGAAACATGAAAATAATAAAGAAGCTTGGCAACGTATCAATCAATTTTAGCCCCATTTTCGTGCCTGCATCATTTCTCTTTTACTCTCCCTCTCTCTTTCTCTCCTTCTGTGCCGCTTCCTGCGGTGAAATTTTCCTCGGTTCGACGTGTTATAATGCATGCCTTAAGGTCGGTTTACCTTGTACGCTCTAATCAATCTTAACCAACTGCTTCTTAGCTTCGCTTCTTCCGTATCTTCAACCTGTCTAGATATGACAGGCTGCTATTTCAAGGTCGTCACCTTTCCGGTTAACTGCGGTTACGGCCACCGCCTCTAGTAACTGATAACTCATTAAAAACGAATGT